GAGATGGGAAGAAGTTCAAAGAAACGCTTAAAGTTTGGAATCTGTGCCCTGCTAGAGCTTTCTTCAGAAAGCTGTCAGCAATTACACTGATTTCTCTGTGAAGGCTTAGTGTCTATCTAGAAGATTAAAAATGTCTCTACAGTCGACTTTCATGAAAAGAAAGGAATTTTTATATGCACAGAAATTTAGGACTATACTATGCAAAGGGTAGTTCAAGGACCAGCAAGTGGTTTTGGCACTACCTAGGAGCTTGTTAGAAATGAAGAGTGGTAGGCCTTCAACTTACATCTGCTGAATTAGAACTTAGAGTTTGACTAGATTTTCAGATGATTCTTACTTATATACCTTTGAGTGTGAGAAGCATTGATCTGGGGATAAAATGTTCTTTTAAGGTAGCAGAGAGTTATAGGAGTTTGAAAGATCACAAATACCAAGAGAGTTGGGGGTCTTAATACCCCCATATTGTTTGGAATCCCAGAAGTGACACAAATATTTATGGCCATTTCTGTTCTGTATGGAAATTTGGACCATAATTCTTTGAGGTTCTTTCCATCAATGGCATTCTCTGAATCATGTTATGATTCATAATCAAGCTTTTATTTTTTATAGATGTTTCTGTCATTAGAAGATAATTGAAAATCATGTTGAATACCTTTTCTGAGGACAGATTGAAAATGTTATAGGGAAAAGTCTGAAGACTTGGTTAGCTAAGACTGTTTCATCCTCAAATATGTATAGGATTAAGAGTTGGGCTAAGGAGTTTTTCTAGTCAACCAATAGAAGGACTTTAGAGTAAAAGCACATATATGCACAGCCACTCATTATGCTTTCAGGTTAAACATTTTTATAACCTTTGAAGGCAGGTATTTTAAAATTGTGGTGTTTTTTTTTGTCTTGGATTCCTTTGATCTGGTAAATTCTKTGGGGCTGCTTCTCAGAATAGTGTTTTAAATGTGTAATTATAATAAAGTACACAGGACTACAAAGAAAGTAAATATTTCTCAAAATATTAGTAAGAAATTTAGAATAAAGTAATAGTACTTGTTTTAATTAATATTAATTTATCATTACCCAGTTATCTTCTATGATTTCAAAATATTTGTTAGCATAAATGATATTTTGAGATCTGTAGCTACTATAATATGATATAAAAAATTATGTTTTATGGGTGATAAAGTCATCCTGCTGATGTTAACCACATTTTTTTGTAGTATATTCATAATAGGTGATAATGTTAAATTTCAGTTAGAAGTTAGTAAGAATAAAGATGTAACTCCTCACCCTACCAGGGTGAGTTCATTACCTCCTGATTTCATGTTCTAAGGTGATTTTAATAATACTGATATTCTAGGACTGGGTTTTTAGTTCGTTTATTTGGAAACCTGTTAGAGGATTCCTTGAAACTGTTATTAATTTCTTATTTTACTTGMTGTTTATTCAGAAGATAAATATTTCTTGGGTTTATATGTTGGGTTTGGAGTAGGAAAGACAAGGGAAGGTGAGGAGAAGGCCACCAAATTGAGTGAGATTTTCCTGCCTTTAAGTAGTTGAGGAAAATATTATAATTTTATTAAACCAAGATGAATTTTATTGAAATATGCATGGGTTTCAGCTCTTCTGAGTTTTGCCATATTGTACCTGAAAGTAGGAAGAACTAAGAAAATGCTAATTTTGCTTTAACACATGTCTCCTGGAACTATCACTAAAATAGAGTTGCTCAGACTTCTTCCATGGGGAGTGTTTTAGGATGTTCTATGTAGGCTATGGGTGAGTCTATCTTTTGACACATTTGCCAGATGGGTCCTCATCATCAGGCAAAATCTAGAAAACTTAGCTAGATGATTCTATAACATGTATATAGAAKCACTTAGACTAGTAAAAGGGGATATATACCAAAAGGTGATAAACTAATTTAGTTTTATTATTGCCAAAAGCTCCCAAGCAAACAAAACAGCAACAAAAGTCCTGATCTAGTTAGTAAAGACACTTAGGTAAAGCCTTTTAAAAGGCATGCATGTTTAATCTTCAGGAGGCATTTGAATGAATTATTGGTTGAAAGAGCTACCCTATCAGCTAGATGTTGTGATCCCCATTTTGCATTTGAGGAAATTGAGACTTAGAGAAATGAAGGAATGTGCCCAAGTCATATTCTGTAGAAAAACCTTTGGTCGGGCATGGTGGTGCATGACTATAATCCCAGTGACTCAGGAGGCTAAGGAAGGAGGATTCCAAGTTCAAAGAGAGCCTCAGCAACTTACCAAGGCTGTAAGCAACTTAGCTTAGACACAGGTCTCAAAATAAAACAGACTGGGCATGTGACTCAGTGGTAAAGCACCCTTGGGTTCAATCCCCAGTATCCTCAAAAAAGGACAGAATTTGACTCTGTCTTTCTGAGTCCAAGGTCTCTATTTATGGCTGTAGTAGCCATATCTTTAAATCTAAAACATGGTGATGATGCACCATGATGTGTCATGGGGTGGAGGAGTGTGTATATAAACATGCATGGCTCCCTATCATTTATCTCATTCTCCAATGTCATTGTTCATCTATTTGTGTCTGCTGCTTGGCCCACCCAGTCTTCTCAAGTGTTAAACCTGGAAAATTTATTTTATTTGTGAAAAAAACCTTTTTTGTTTATTTGCTTATGTATATTTATTTGCAATGGGTAATCCAGGTAAAACAAATATGTRTTTTTTAATAATATTATAATGTTAGTTTTATTTATGAATTTATGATGCAGGCAGAAAATTTATACACCAAACATGATCTAAGTACTTTAACAATTCAAATAAAAATACATTAATAACCTAATGTAAGTTATGATCATTTAAGATGACCACAGCATGGAGAAGAAGGAGGCAGCAACGTGCAGATAGCAGTCAACAGGTATTCATTTAGTACTTACTGGTTGCCTAAAACTGCCAAGCACCCTGGAGGGTGCCTAATAATATGGTTAGTCTTCCTCAGCTTTTACAAAGGTGTAGTCCTGGGGAGAGGGAAGACTTCCTTACTCCTTGGGAGGAATGGGGCTTGCAGTATGGAAGCTAATGTAGTTAGGAAAACCAGGGAGGTTAATGGAAGGAGTCACTTCTGCTATGCTTGGTTACATAGGGTAAACAGACTAACCTTATACTTTGAGGTCCAAAATAGGAAAAGAAGCCAAACCAGCCTTTAATATATCATGGCTGTTAGTCTTATGGGAAGTGGTCTGAGGATAAGAGTCTAAATTTGGCTAGTGGACTTGTCACTCATGTTTTAGGGTTCTACTGATTTTTATCATGTTCTGCAGTAACTGTCAGGTATTTGTACAAGGGGTTGGTGCTTTAGGTGAGAGTCAGATGGCTGAGGCACAGGGTTAGTTCTCGGAGGTCCAAAATGCTATGTTGCCTTTGCTGTCTTCTGTGGGACACAGAAATGTTTTGTTGTTCTGTCACACGCATCTCTATATCAACTCACATTTAATGAGACTGGAGATATGGGAGGATCTGTCTTCAAGACCAGAAGTTTTCTCTCTGCTTTTCTCCTCATCTTTGTTAATGGTCTGAGGAATTTATTTTTTCTTTTCAATTTGGCACCAGTCGTCTCTGCTTCAGTTTTTCTTGGTTTGATTGTTGCTTTCTTGAATAAAAGTGCCACACAATTGACCCTCCCACACCTCTCCCTCAGACTCAGTCCAGTCTGGGCTAGAAGCTGAATGATGTGTTTTTCTCATTTTGGGGCACTCATCATAGCTGGCATTTGTAAGCCAGCTGTTGTGTGGGACCGCAGCTGCAGGGCATGGAAGCTGAGTGCCAGGCTCTTTTCTTGGGAGAATTAGAGCTACTCCCTAACATGGCACTGGAGGTACCATTAGAGGGTCCACTGGCCCTTCCTATCAATAGTCCATGCAGCTGGGACACCAATAATATGAAACTAGACCATGCTGTAGTGGCTCTTTATTGAGAGATTTGAATATCACCAGTGTTAGAGCAGAGCCATGTACACCTTGGGTCCTTGCTGCCTGGAGTGCTGGCCATGAACAGTGCAGTAAAATCTGAGGGGGTTTACATAGCTCTGCTTTTAAAATATACTACTGTAATTATTTTTAACAGTGAAAGGTCATGTTCTGTTGTACCATTTCAAAATATTTCTAAGACAGTAGTTTTTTATTTCCTAAGTCATAATAAGCATTTTGTTTGCCTTATATATCTGAATAAAATTCTGTTTAAGCATAGATGTGAAATGTAATTTATTATATCTGAAAAATGTACTTTGTATATTAGTAAGGTAAATGAACTTCAATAATGACTTCAGAATAGGGTTCTGAATTTTAAAATATATCTTTAAAAATTTTTGCAAGGATCTTTTGCTTACAGCTTTGAAACATTTCGTGTCCAAGAGGTTTGAACCTGGTGGTTCAAATTTGATCTTTTTTACTTTATGGTATTGTAGTGGTTTTCTGTCCTTTTCTGTCAACTTTCTCAAAGAGCAGAAGTGAGGGGCAATGAAAGTGAGTTCCTTATTATTTCAATTTCCAACTTTGAATAAAGTTTAAAAGAAGAAAGGATGTTATATGAAGGCCAGGAAGGAAAATATTGTTTCTAATCTGGTGATATTTCTCATTAGCATGGTACAGTTGCAGGGGAGATGAGGCTAAAGGAGGCCCTGGTTTTAGAAGTTGAGGTGATTGTGTCCACATGGGCTATTTGCTGTTAGTTCTGTAAAGTTTACATGTACATAAATTATTTCTCATTATTTGGATAAATGTTTTCAAATCCAAGAGTGTGAGACTCCTGGAATTCACTTTAAAAGTATTTAAAGATTATGTTTCTAACACACACACACACACACACACAAAACCAAATCAGTAGTTAGCCCAAGGGAATGCTAGTAGGTGAAACCTGCTTTGAATTAAAATATTTTAAGTTGTTTTTTACTTAAGTTGTGAATTGTAAACTATTCCATTTTGATTTCTGGGAAATTTCTTTTGCATAATTAATCGTTTTTCCTCCCTTCTGCAGAACTGGCTAGATCCTGCAAAAGAAATAAAGAGACAACTTCGAAGTGAGTATTTAAATAATCATACTTTGAATTTATTAAGTTAAATCTTTCTATTTATCTATTTCCATCTTTAATAAAATTTATAGGGATTCAGATTGGAATAATAAGACAGAATAGAATGTTGAGTTCTATTTTATACCATCTCAGAAGGCAATGTTAATGATATATTTGTAGAATTGGGACTGTTTATTTTGTCTTTGGCGTAGAACTCCTACCCTTCAGGAGGCTACAGATGAACATTCTTGCACATACCATTTCAGTGTTTACCAGTATAAGGCAACATCTCACCCTTTATTTCTGGGAAAGAATGAGAGGCTGTTTTTCTGCAAATTTCACTTTGGGAAGATTTACTGTAGATAGACCTGATACTATTGCCTTGACCATTGCATTTTGGAAGTGTGTGATTTAATGGTAAGCATATCGGAATCCCAGAGGCATACAGGCACATATTCCTAGGTGTACTGGAGTGAGGATTTCAGGGGTGAAAGTCAGGACCATCTTGTCAGTTCTCTAAATCATTGCCTCTTGCTTGCTCCCTCCATTCCACAGCCCAAGGCACTTAAGTGCTCTTTCTGTCTGGGTTTGTGGTTAGGCCTGCTTGTTCCTGTCTTCCCACTGCCCCTTTTTTCTCACTGTAGAATCCCCAGATGACTTCCAGTGCCCACTCTAACCAGCCTCAGCTCCCTTGAGGCTGTGCTCTGAAAATTGCTTTGCTTGTGATAGCTGTACCAAGAAATATTAGCACTACAGAGAAATCTCTGATAGGGCATTTGGATACTTGGTTTACTTCAGGGTCTGTGAATGACTGAGCAGAGAAGGCAAGGAATCGTGAGTAGCTAGAATGTTTTAGACTGAAGAACAAAATATGAAGAGTGGTAAATGCCTTATAGCCCTTCTAAGACTTTGGGCCCCAGAGCTCCAGGGAGAAGCTGTTTTCTTGAAAACTAACTGCAAAGTGCSCTGCACTATTGATTATACATCCCTACTTATTTATTATTTCTAATGTCAAAACCCAGGAACAAATCTATGCTTCCTGTCTTGCCCTTTCCATCTACCTCTGTCTCCGTATTTATTTTCTTTCTCACTCCTAATTGTTAGTCTTCCTATCATTTCTTTCTATATTTTTTTTTTTACATTTGAACCTTATTGCCCTCATTTTGTCTCCCTTTTTTAGACAGATATATTTATATCCTTTATTTTTCATTAAAAAAAAAAGTCTTTGGTTAGAGTTCCTGACTTGCCAATAGTGAGGTGTGCCCTAGAATGTGGGACTTTTGATACTAAAACTGGAACAGTCCTAGGCTCTCTGGCATGGTTGGCCACTCTATCTTTTGACTACTGTTCCTGGCTTTTTTACATTCATTTTCTCTCTCCCTTTCTCTGTTTTTAATGTATTATCTTGATGTTTTACCCATTTGTGTTTGTTTCATGATGGAAAGGATGGGAGGAATAAATTAGATAAATTACACTGATATCATGGAAGAAACTGTACTGCAGTTGTTTCATGCTCTGTAAAGTTCAGAGTTCAGAAGATATAGATGCTTGGTTCTTCCACTTTCTTTGAAACCCGACCTGTCAGGTGACCCCGACAGAAAAAGGGCAATCTTTGAAATAAGATTGATGTTCCATTGAGTTGATGCCTATTTTGAGTCTCATTTGATTATATGTGTATCACTATTTTAGAGTCATAGATATTACCTGTTGGTGATCTTTTGAAAGAAAAMTTTCAAAAAGTTTCAAAATTTTTGAAAGAAACTTTCCCGAAAAAGTCTTTGGAAAACATTAGAGTGTAAGACTTGTCCTGATTATGAATCATATTCCTATGTTTGATTATTTATTGACCTCTTTCTTCCTGTGTTAAGATGGGCGAAAGAACTCTTCTTTCAACTTGTTCTATTACTCCAGTCTCTAAGTTGATTATATTGTTCCTTTACAGTTAACAGGCTGTTTGAAAAGATAAATATTAATCKTTGGGTTACTTTTGACAACCAAAAAACTTATTGATTCTCATTTAAATTTTACCTTTAAAAAAATCTTTATTTTCTCCATGGGTGTGTCCGCGCGGCTAGGGAGGCTTAGGCAGGAAAATTGAAAGTTCAAAGCCAGCCTCAGCAAAATTGAGGCGCTAAGCAACTCACCAAAACCCTGTCTCTAAATAAAATACAAAATAGGGCTGGGGATGTAGCTCAGTGGTCGAATATCCCTGAGTTTAATCTCTGGCTATCCCCTCAAAACAAAAGCAAAAACAAACTTTATTTTCTTAAATGTATACAAAGAAGCCTATATATGTAAGGCCTATAGGTGACTAATATATAAATAATCCATAATTAGCTGAACTGTTTATGTGTAGCCAATAAAACCATAGTTGAATTCAAATTTAACTTAATTTATTATTGGTGATTTTCAGGTTTTCTTAAAATATAATTATATGAGGATATATATATATATATATATATATATATATATATATATATAAATTGAATTGATTTGACCATTCCACAATGTATATACATTTCAAATATATTGTACACCATAGAAATGTACAACTTTTTCAATTAAAATAAATTGAGTATTCATGGGTTTTGGAAGTATATCCTCAAATATAAGTTTAATAGAAACATGCCTGTAGTCATATCCAGGCAAGCATATGCTAATGTTAATACCCAGAAAACAAATAAACAAGGGACTATTAAGAAAAGATAATCCAGTGATGACTTTGCTTGATTATGGATTAGCAGTCACCTCAGAAAAGTGCACGTGCATAATGTGTGTACTGTGTTTAACACAGTGCTATAGGCATTGGAACATCATGTTTCTTCATATTTATGAAGATTCTATATTAATTTACCATGTTTTAAATGTGTAAAGCAGAACTGAAATCTGTTTCTGGAGTTCAGCAGGATTGATTTTATTAGTGGAATAACGATATATTGAGCCAAAATCTAACAGAAGTAACGTATATATGTAGTAGCCATTGAGTGAGAGAGAAGATAATGTGCTAATGATGACAGAGGACAATAGAATATGTTGAACAAGAGAATGGAATTCAAAAAATTTTTAAGTCCATAAATTAAAGGTCCTTTGAGGGCCTCAAATAAATTATACACAGAGAGAAAACTTTCCTGTTTTTGTTGGAAAATGCTATGATCCTGGAACTGAATTGTACATTCAGGCTAGTGGAATTAATTTGGGTCATTTTAGGAAAATAATATCTGCCTTCTCCCTTTTCCCTTTTATTGCTCCTGATCAAACCAAAAGGTGATATAGCAAAATATAAATTAATGTGTAAATAGCAATGTTTTTACTTTTAGTAACTTTCATGATATAGTTGTTTGACAAGCATTCTTTTTTTTTTTTTT